ATCTAAAATTGCATTATATAGGAAAGTAAGTCTTGACCAAAATGACTTCTAACTCCTTACCATAATTGTCATTATTTATGTGACTGGTGCTGGCAAGTTTTTTTAAATAAATTATGAAAATTAATTTATTTCATTATGTAAAACATCGACCTATTCTGTCATACTTTTGAGAGAAAGAACACAAGTGGTTGTGTCATGAGCAAATCTGTCCAACTAACGTCATCAGAAAAAAAAACTATAGTACGTTATAAAATGCTAAACCCAAATAGCTCCCAACGAAACATGTAATAAACATTATCCAGCCCTCATTCTCCGCTGTCACAAGGTCCTGAAAATGAGATCTTCTCCCTACCAGAAAAGCCAACTGACTTGATCTTCAATCTCCAAATAGCTGGTTAAAGGGAGAATCCTGTTATGGTGAGTAAAAAGCATCTCTTTCACCAAACTAACACATAAAAAACACTGGGCCCTGAGGAACTCTACCACAAGAACTTCTGCTTTTTAAGGCAAAAATCCCTGCCCACCTAGGTTCTGTCAAGCCCACATACACAAGGTGAAACAGAGACAGCATAGGAAGACTACTTGCACTTTTTTACTATTTACACCCTTCCTGATTCCACCTCACTAAAAAAGAGAGAGAAAATCCATTCAAAACCCTAATCCTGACCACCTCAGCTTAAATGGTCTTCATCCCCTTCCTCTTCTACCACCCATTCGCTGGACTTCATCATCCTCTAGTGCAGCATGACTTGGCAATCTGAAATCCAACATCCCTTTCCTGTGCCAATCCCGGTCCTTCTAGCTCTCCCACCGCTCTTTGATTAAATTGGTGCTGCTAGTCCCTTAACCCTTCCATCTTCTTCCAATCAATCAAAGTTTTATGTATTTCCTTCTTTAGAAATAGAACACAGATCTTACGATCTATCATCATTTCAACCACTTTTCCTGCCAAGACTCTTTAGTGTCCCAGGTTAATTTCTCCTCCACTTCTACAAAGCAATCCACTGCTCCTCTCAAACTTTCTACCCCTCACTCCTTTCATCACCAATTGCTCCCAGCAATAAGCTTGTTTCCTACCTTACCAAGAATAGAGGCCATAGGCCAAACTATCCACGACTTCCTATCTCTCCACAATGTCCCTCCTTCAAATTTATCACATTCAAACTCATTTTTTTCTTCTTCCCTTCCTCTGTCAGAAGAAAATATGTTCCTTCTCAGAGTGAGAGCCAGTTCATTTACTTATGCCCTTGAAACTCCAGCTTCTCAGGGACCTTGCTCTGCCAAGTATTCCCTTTCTCTCCCATTTCCTTAACCTTAGTCAGCTGCCTCTTTCCCTTTACTGCTGTTGTTTCCCAAGCTTCCTTCTTCGGCTCTGACATTCTCATGCTACGCACTGTTCCAGACCCATCTTATCTACTCCTATGGTTTCTATTATCATATATAAACTGATACTCCTAAATCTGAAATTCTAGACCTCCTCCTTAAGAACCAAACCATCACTTTCAAATACTTATGTGTGTGTCAGTTCCACTTGACACACACATAAATGTTAAACTTATTATATTCACGACTACTCACTTTGCCCAAAAACATCACCTCCTCTTACGTTCCTTCTCTTAGTGATCTACCCAGTTTCCCAAGCCAGAACCTGGGAGGCATCATAGATTTCTTTCTCTACGTTATATAAAAGGTCACTATGCCCTGATAATTTAAACTGCTAAGTCTCTTTTTAATCCATACTCTCTCTTTCACACATGACTATCACAATGCAAGCAACCTCCTGTCTACCTCTACTGCTACCTCGACACTGGCAATCATCACTTTTTAAAATTTACTCTCTTCGTCAATGTTAGTCCCCTCTAATTCTTCCCATGAATACTGTTACGGAAATGCTACTAAATATGAATTTGATATTATTCCCTCTCTTAAAAACCTTTAATGGCTCCTAATTACCTTCAGCATGAAATTTATTTAACATGGAATACAAACTTGTGCTAATTTCTCTGCCTAGAATGACCGCCCCCTTCTTCTATTGGCTTGCTTCTACTCATCCTATTAGGACTCAACTGAAGAATTACAAACTCTCTCTGACATACTTCCAAGCTCAGTTGGATCCCTCTCATTTGTTTCCAGAATAATGCCTGCAAATAGAAAATGACCAAAATGTTTTATTCATTAAATACATAAACATAAAGCTTCAGAGATTAGTGCCTCTGAAGGCAGTGAGCGTCACTTTCAGAAAAGCAATTTTACAAAGCTTTAAGGTAATTTTTAAGGCAAAGAAAAAATTATTCATACAAGTATTCCAGAACAGATTAGCTAGTAAACGTGTCCTAAAAAAGTTACATTGCTGAAACATAAAGATTCATATTTAAGGACTAAGAAAAATAAGCTGGTGCTGACAGCTCAGAGCCTGGAGCCTGCTGCGGATTCTGTGTCTCCCTCTCTCTCTGCCCCTCCCCTGCTTGCACTCTGTGTCTCCCTCTCTCAAAAATAAATAAACATTAAAAAAAAAGTACTGGGGAAGGAGATCTGCCTTCCAAAGTACATATACAATTACCACTGTAAGTTCTTTTTTTTTAATATATATATTTTTTTTCTTCTTTTCAACGTTTTTATTTATTTTTGGGACAGAGAGAGACAGAGCATGAACGGGGGAGGGTCAGAGAGAGAGGGAGACACAGAATCGGAAACAGGCTCCAGGCTCCGAGCCATCAGCCCAGAGCCTGACGCGGGGCTCGAACTCACGGACCGCGAGATCGTGACCTGGCTGAAGTCGGACACTTAACCGACTGCGCCACCCAGGCGCCCCTACCACTGTAAGTTCTTAAGTACCCTTATAAGAAGGTCAGAAGTATTTTTCAACTAATAACTGTGAAGATACTGGGAGAGTGTTACCTAGCAAATCAGTATACAGATGGAAAAGCTTTTTATACTTAGAAAGGCCTTGCCTTGGGGCACCTGGGTGGCTCAGAAGGTTAAGTGTCCGACTTCAGCTCAGGTCATGATCTCATCCTTCATCCCCCAAATAAATAAAACTAAAAACTTACCAGTTTCTTAGAAAACAAAAGCCAAAATTGCTATTAATTTATCAGGAAAAATTTAATTCAATCAAAATATTTCTTGAAAGTCAAGGGTCCCTCCTATAAAATCATCACTTTTAGACTAATTACTTCATTACTGTTTTAAACTGGTAACACAGTGATGGTCATTTTCTAATTCCTAAAGTGGGCCCCTAAGCATATTAGAAATGCCACTGGTTAAAACGTCAAGGTTCTTACATTCAACAAATTCTTACGGAGTAGGTACTATATAGAAAATTATGTATCAGAGATAATCACACCAAGAATGATTTTTGCCATTACCTCAAAGAGTAGTGCAATCACCAAGTATTTCTTTGGCCAATGTCCAAATAAAAGAGCTAATGAGCTATATTTAAAGTTCCTAGATTAAATGGACTGAGTTCTAGGACTCTGTAAATTACCTGTTTGGAATTCTGAATGCATTTTCTAAAAAAAATAAGGTAATAAATGGCAACTAAATTCTCAAACAAGTCCACAAAGGCCTTTATATGTAATATAGAGGAATCTTAGTTTCTATATAAATTATAAGAGCTGCGAACAATCAGTTCTATAAATTATTGTCAAAAATACAACAGAACAGTCTAATTCTTTAAAATTCTTTAAAACTGCTTAATTCCTTAAAATTACTTATTATAACTTTCAGCAGAAAATGACACAGAGAAAATAATTAAAATTGATATCACAAGCTATTGAGTATCTGAAATAAAATATATTTCGATAGTTATCTTTCCAAAAGTGGCACATCAGGTTCCCATTATTGGGTAATATTTGCTTACTTTATTAAAGGAATAGTAGATGGAGCATGTTGAAGACTAATGAAACCAAAAGCACTTACAGAAAAGTTAAGACTCCTTGGAAGCCTAAAATCCAAACTTTATTGGGTAAGTTTTAATTACAAAACCTTTATAAAGGCAAAACATTTAAATTAATATGAAACATTCCAAAATTCCTAGTAAACTTTTGGTGAATCCTAAATAGTAAATAAAATTGCTGGTAGGCCAAACTATATTATAGAAAAATAAAAATGATTGCTTTTACAAGTTTATCACTGAAATATCTTGTCCCCGATATGAGAAAGGAAATTGGGAAGCATTTTTAAAACGTTTAAGAGAAATAAAATGGCATCTTTAGAGAAAAAAATCAATAGCGACTAAACGTCAAATTCTTCAGTTTAGGAGATTTGGAGAATTTATACAAATAATTAACTGGAACCTCTTTAATAATACTCTTTTTGCTCTGACGACTTTACCATCATAATCCAGTAAGTCCACCCTTTAACCCTATTTACACAGGAAAGAAAACTGAAGCTCAAAGAGGTTAATATGTATTTCAAGGTGTACTGGATTTGACTCTAAACCCAAACTTCCCATTAAAGTATTGCTAATAACAAGGCTTAACATAATTATTGCGGGTCTTCAATATTTGTCATAAGTGGCTGAATAATTTATTAACACTTCGTGGTACTGACAGAGTGAAGCTGCATGACACAAGACAATAAGGAAGGCTACTCCCCTTTGAGTGATACACACTTTAAACGTGAGGAGCACAGATGTCACCGCAACGATGGATGATAGTTTTAGAAGCAACAAACATAAGTTTTTTCAATTTTGGCTTGGCTAGTTTCAAGCTTGAAAAAGGCCAGAAAAGGCGAGGGTAAGACACCAGCTGAATTAGCTGCATCGGCTCACTCCGCGAACTTCATTCCTAAATCCGGAGGACAGGAGTGGAGAAAATCAAAGCTCCCCAGACGTCTCCAAAGGAAACTCTAAAGAGCGCTTGTGGAACAACCCACCGACTAGCAAATCTGGAAAGGTGAGGACCAAATTAAAATCAGACAGGAGTTTGGGAGCGAAGGACTGGATCTAATAGGACCAGACATGCTCACCGTGCCCTCTCCCGACGTCACCCAAAGCTTACCTCTTTGACAGGTGGGAATTTCTTCTTGCATTCCAGGGACAAGGCCCGTAAATCGCTCTGCATGTTCTCCAGCAGCTTCTTCACTGCCTCGGGGCTGTTGGTGCCGGACATGATCCACCAAACTACAATCCAATTTGGGCGGCGCAAACGAACTCCAGCACGGTCAGCTCCTTCGGGCGACCGGCAGCTCCCTCAGAGCACCTCCGGCCCTTCCTCAGCGCGCCTCCTGGGCTCCGCGGGGCTTGGCCCGGCCTGGACTACGAACCCACAGCGTACCCGAGCGCCCCCCGCAGCCTTCTCGCAACTCTCGCGGCTCCTCTCCGAGGCGCCCCCCCGCCCCGGTCGCCCCGCCCCGCTAGGCTCCAGCGGCTCTGGCCGAGGAGCCCACAAGGCGGGCAGGTCCCTCCCGCTGCCGCGGGGTCCGGCCGCACAGTTCGTCAGCAGCCAACCTGGCAAAATCTCCGGCGCTGGCCGCCCAAGCCCTCCAGACTCGCCGACGCCATTAGCCGAGTCGCCCACAATTCCGAGCGCGGCCGGGACACGTCAGCCGCACTTCCGGGCACCGCGGCCACCGCCCCCGCCGCGGCCAACTGGGGCGGTGAGGCGCAGGCGGGGCGTGGCCAGGGGCGTGGTCACGTCCGGGGCTCGGTCGGCTCCCGGAGGGGCTGCTTTCCCCAGCTCGACTTTGGGACCCGCTAGGCGTGGGCCACCATTTGCCTCGTCTAAATTTGCTTCTTCGTAGATATGTGACAGCTGTCAGAATGGAGCCACGTGTATCTTGGCGTGTCTCTTGGGGTGTGTTCGTGTTATATTGTATTTCGGTGTAAACAGTTTGCTTCCTTTTGTTTTAATCTTCATCCGTCTTGTCCCTCGTCATTTCTGCCCCCTGGAATCTCTGGGCTAGTGGCCCCAAACCAATGCCTACCTCCTGTTAATTTTATTTTCCTCCTAAGTACCTAAATTGCAATTCCTCCACAGAGTTGCACAAAGCATACTGGTGCGCTTACTGCGGAGTAGTCCTTTATTTCCCTAATTTTTAAAATGACAGAGAAAACTACCCTTTGTTCCAAAACCCTCCGCTGGCCTTCCATTTTGCCCACGGTAAAAGTCAGAATTCTTCCTTACACCTGCCAGGAGCCACGCGATCTGCCCCGCCCCCTTTTACCGCCAGTTTTCCAGCTAAAAGGCGTTGGGATTTTGTCCCCCTCTGTTTTGTTCCCTTCTTATCTCCGGCACTTAGAATAGTTCTTGGCATATAGTAGATGATCAATAAATATTTTATTTTATTTACATATTTAAATGTTTATTTATTTTTGAGAGACAGAGCGTGAGCAGGGAAGGGGCAGAGAGAGAGAGGGAGACACAGAATCTGAAGCAGATCCAGGCCCTGAACTGTCAGCACTGAGCCCCACGCAGGGCTCAAACTCAGAAACAGTGAGATCATGACCCCAGCCAAAGTCGGATGCCCAACTGACTGAGCCACCCAGGCGCCCTGATCAATAAATATTTTAACGAATGAATGTAAAAATAATTTTGGTGCTTAAATAAGAAACCAATATAAAAGCCTTTATTAGGTAACAAATATTAAGTGAGACACAAGTAAGCAGAAAACTTACCTGTGCTTCCCAAGATCTAGGTCTGTGTGCTTTTGCCAAAACATCTTGCAACCACTGAGTAGGAAGCAGAGGAAGGTAGAGGGAAAGCCTGAACCAGGGTAGAGGTAGGAGATGAAGAAAGGAACACCTCAGACAACTGAGCGGATGACATCATTGCAGTAGGCAGGGCAGCGGATTGAGATTGTCAGTGGGAGGAAGGATTTGGCCCTAAAATAAGCCTTGCACCACAAGTACTTTGTAAACTAAATAATTTTTTCCTCATCTGACAAGAAGTAACACAAGGATGGATAAAGATAGCAGATAAGGTAATAGAGCTCTCAGAACACTAGTTTGTATCATTTGTGCCTATTGTGACTTTGGGAAATTTGATAGGTCCTGTAACATAAGCTTTATGTATTAAAAACTGTGAATTTATAAAACAAAATCTTAGGTAGAATATATGGCAGACATTATTCTTGAGGTCCCAGGGAACTTTGAAAAATGATCCTCTTGTGGGGCGCGTGGGTGGCTCAGTCAGTTGAGCCGGGTTAAGCCCCAGACTCTTGATTTCAGCTCAGGTAGTGATCTCAAGGTCATGGGATGGAGGCCCATTGGGCTCCACACTGAGCTTGGAGCCTGCTTAAGATTTTCATTCTCTCCCTCTCTGCCCTTCACCCCCGCTGGTGTGTGATCTCTCTCTCTCTCAAAAATCAAATTAAATAAATAACAAAACCAAATAGTTTTCTCTGTACATATGCCAAGGGAGATTGTACTGCCACAGAAACAATGCATGGCTTTATGCCAAAACCAACCAAGTTAGCAGGGGTAAAAATCATTCTTGATTCTACAAGTTAAGAAATCAGCTAGGTGCAACAGGGTGGCTCAGTCGGTTAAACATTCAACTTGGGCTCAGGTCATAATCTCACAGCTTGTGAGTTTGAGCCCCAAGTCAGGCTCTAGGCTGACAGCTCAGAGCCTGGAGCCTGCTTGGGATTCTGTATCTCCCTCTCTCTCTGCCCCCC